GAATCGTGCACTTAAAGAAGCGGCTCCTGGCAAAGCGAAAGATTCTAATTCTATATCAGAAATATGTTCGGTGATTACACCGACGTCTTCTTCCGTTGCACATGATTCGATTGTAACGATGGAAATACCTAATGGTTTGTAAACGATCTTTTTTTTAAAACTTTGACGAATTTTGAACGAAATCTAATGTTTTATGTTCTAGGTAATGAATCACCGAAAAATGATTCGCTTGTCGCAAAAGATGTTTCCGAAAAGGAGAAGTCCGCCTTAGAAAATTCTGGACTTAATCAGAATGATGCAATTATCAAAGGGGATCGCAATTTACCGGAGATTATGTTAGAAAATTTTGAATCAGGTAAATGCAATTGTTACCGTGCTAGGCAGTGGAGTTGAACTTCGGGCGTTAATAAAAATTCGTGCACTCCGTTTAACAAAAAGAAATAACAATGAATATTTATTGTATTAAAAAACAAACACTTTTGACTTAAAAACAGCGTAAGTAGTTGGGCACAAAAAGCGTTGACGCTGTCGCGAAATCAGAGCTTGGCAGGCCAGGGCGAAAAGGCTATGCCAACGGCTTTGCTGATTGAGACTGAAGAAAAGTTTAACGTATTGTAATAAAAGCCGCGACAATTTCGCGCGTATTTTTCCCACCAAGCTCTCATCTCGCACCAGCGCCAAGTCTGCAACCGTTACAATTTGAACATACCGCCCGCGTTGACGCACAGCAGCGTCAAAACAAATAAATCAAAAAAAAATGTAATTGCACAGAGAATAGAACAAATAGAGAAATAAAATACATAATTATAAGCGATCGAACTAAACATAAATTTACAAAAAAATTACACTTAAAACTAGCTTGTCTCGACTTCAGGCTGAGAATCACTCTTGAGGTCCAGATCGGTTGGCAGCTTGATGAGCTTGACTACGGGACGCGTGAATCGTGAGTCCGACGTCCTAATCGTAGCGACTCGCACCAGTCCGTCAGCTCCCAAGTGAACCTTCTCGACGCGTGCCAAGGGCCAGGTTGAAGGCGGACACAACTCATCTCGCATAATGACCATATCACCTGGCTTGAGGCTCCTTCGAACGTCGGTCCACTTATTGCGCTGCTGCATCTGCGAAAGGACCTCTTTTCGCCAGCGACGCCAAAACGAGTCTCGCAGACCGCGCAAAAGCCTCCAGCGATCGGTGAGGCTTAAAATTTCACCTTCGTCGAACGGCTCGGGGTAATCCAGAAGCGCCGATCCAACCAGGAAATGACCCGGGGTAAGAGCGGCATAGTCTTCGGGCTGGCTGCTGAGTGGCCGCAGCGGACGCGAGTTCAAGCACGCCTCGATTCGTGCCGCCAGTGTTGCGAGTTCCTCAAACGTCAGCTTTGTTTCTCCAATCACTCGGCGGAAGTGGTGCTTAAAGCTGCGAACCGCGGCCTCCCATAGCCCTCCAAAATGCGGAGCGCGCGGCGGGATAAACGACCATTTCGTGCCTTGTTCGCTTAATTGAGCTTGGATGCGACGACTGAACGATGAGCTTTTTTCAAAAAGCCTCTTGAGCTCCACGGCTGCACCTTTGAATGTCGTCGCATTGTCCGAGTAGACGATCGACGGTCTTCCTCTTCTCGCGCAAAACCTCGAATAAGCTGCCAAAAAAGCTCGTGTAGTAAGATCGGACACGACTTCAATATGCACTGCGCGAGTGACCAAACACACGAAGATGGCTACGTATCCTTTTGTTGTCTTCGCTCCTCTACCTCTCGAAAACAAGATTGATATCGGCCCAGCGTAGTCCAGTCCAGTCGTTGCAAAAGGTCGTCCTGGGGTCACTCGAGCAGAAGGCAATGGTGCCATTTGTTGGTCCAAGTTTACAGCTCGAAAACGCGTACACCTGACACAACCGTGACACACAGACTGAATGACGCGTGCACCACGGGTAATCCAAAATTTCCTCGCCAGGTGAGAGCTCATAAGCTGGGCTCCGCCATGCAGCGTCTCCAGGTGAGCCTGCTGCACCAGCCTCCTGACCATAGCACATCCTCCAGGCAGAATTATCGGATGCTTCTCGTCAAATGGAACGTGAGCGTTCTGCAGCCTACCTCCGACACGCAGAAGTCCGTCTCGATCGTAGAAGGGACAGAGTCGGCTCAAATGACTGCGCTTGCTCAAGTTCCTCTTTTCTCTAAGCGCCTTGACTTCGTCGGCAAAGTGAAAACGCTGTATTAACCTGAAACAGCCGATTCTTGCCTTCCTCAAAGCATCTGCATCGGAGATTACAGGGGTACCTCGGACACGATGTGATGCGCGTGAGTGCCAACGATAGATCAATGCTAGAACCTTTAGCACCATACGAAAATTCGGGCATATGTCGAACTGTGACATACACTCTCCTTCCACCGCTGGTCGAGAATCAGGCCTGGCCTCCGTCGTGACCATGGCTTGTACAATTGATTCAGCGACGTCCATCTTCGGCCACTGATTTTCCTCCTTCACGAGCCAAGCAGGTCCGGTCCACCACAGCGAGAACGCGGCCAAGTCCTTCGGGGCGAGTCCTCTCGTCGCGCAATCAGCGGGGTTATCAGCGGTTCGCACATGACACCAACACACATCTGGTAAACTTGTTTGGATTTCGCTTACGCGATTGGCCACAAAAGTCGGCCACTTTGAAGAGTGACCGCGAATCCATTCAAGTACCACACTCGAGTCCGTCCAGCAATGAACCTGCGCCGGTGGGAATCGCAAGTTGTCGAGCAAGTTTCTGACCAGGCGAGCTAGCAAGGTTGCCGCGCACAACTCAAGCCTTGGTATTGTTTGCACCTTGGTCGGGGCCAGCTTTGTCTTGGCGACCAGCAGCGAAGACGATCCACCAGGAGTCACCGCATACAGCGCCGCTGCGTAAGCGCGCTTCGAGGCGTCGGCAAAGGCGTGCAGATGCCAGGGTCTTGATTCCGACGTTCCAAGCCATCTACTTACTCGAACTCTACTTACATCTGGCAGAGTCGAGCAAAATGCACTCCATCGCTGCCCCAGCGTCGCGGACACCGGCGAGTCCCAGTCTGAGCCGTCCAAGCAGACGTCCTGGAGCAGAATCTTAGCCACCACAAGCGTCGGCGCGAGCCATCCCATCGGGTCAAAGGTCCGCGAAATGTCTGACAGTATTGAGCGCCTCGTGACTGTGCTTGATCCAGGTTGGGGCCTAAATTGGAAAGTGAAGTTGTCCGGGCCGGGCAGCCACCTGAGTCCCAGCGTCGACACCGCCTCGTCCATCTTCAGCGCCACCGACTCCTGAGACGACGTCACGAGACCCTCGACGAGACTACGATGATTAGCTGACCATTTGGCGAGCTTCATTCCGGCAGTGGCCAAAAGCTCAATGAGTTGATTTCTTCGGCGCACAGTTTCTCCAACGGTGTCAGCTCCAAAGAAAATATCGTCGACGTAGAGCTGATGTCGGAGCGCGTGAGATGCTTCAGGGTACCTGTCACTTCCGTCCTCCGCAAGCTGCTTCATGACGCGGAGTGCCAGGAAGGGTGCGGCAGCAGTACCATACGTGACCGTTGTGCAGCGGAAGTCCTCCATCGGGCTCGTCGAGTCCTTGCGCCACAGCACCCGCTGCCAATCGACGTCATCCGGATGCACGCGAATCTGGCGAAACATTTTCTCCACATCTGTAGTGCCGGCAAATCTGAAGCAACGCCAATTTGACAGCACGACGGTGATATCCGATTGTAGTTTTGGCCCTGGCAGCAAAAGATCGTTGAGAGAGAGTCCGCCGCTCGACTTATGTGACGCGTTGAAAACAACCCGAATTTTATTTGGGTTGTCCGGACGAAAAACTCCGTGATGCGGCAAATAAGCTCCCGGGCGACTGATCTGCCCTTTAGGTATCAGTTCCATGTGGTCGAGTTGAACGTATTCCTGCATAAACTTGCTGTAGGCATCGTAGAGCTTCGGGTCCTTACGAAAGCGAGCCTCCGAGCGCACAAGGCAAGATTGCGCTGCGTATCTCGAATTCGACAAGTCGAGCTTGCGTGTAAAAGGCAGGCGCACGACGAATCTCCCATCCTTATTGCGACAGTGCGTGCTCTTGAAAAGGTCCTCACAGCGCTTTTCCTCCTCGGAAAGATGCGACTTGCTCGGCACACTATCAAGCTCCCAAAGCTTGGATACCATAGACGACACGGACGGCTCAGTCGTGATGTGGAACGCTCGAATCGTCGATCTTTCGAGATTTGAATTCTGAAAAGCCGCACCGGTGAGTATCCAACCAAAAACGGTTTTTTGTGCTACAGGCGCATTATCCGGGCCCTTTCTCAATCCATCAAGAATAAACGACTGATATGCGTCCGCTCCAAGCACACAATCGATTCTCGCCGGCACATTAAAGTGTGGGTCGGCAAGCACGAGTCCTTTCACATGAGGCCAATCTTCGTCTTTCAACGTCTTCTGCGGCAATAATCGCGTCAGCTCCTGCAGAATGATCATCGAACATTTTCGAGCGAAGTCAGGCGATCGACTCGACCTGATCTCGCACTTCACCTCCGAACGCGCTCTCGACGACACCGTGGCGCCCATCCCGACGACATCCAACGAGACCCGACCGATCGGCAAGTGCAGCTGACTAGCGACTCTCTGCGAAAGGAAACTTCCCTCTGAACATGGATCGATTAAAGCTCGAATTGGCATGGGCCGGCCGTTCGCGTCCACGACCAGCACCATTGCTGTGGCTAAAAGCACATCTGCTCTTGTGAGTGTGGCAAATGTATTGATCCCGTCCTCGTCTCCTCCATTGCCAGACGCAGCACCCTCGCTCGAACTGGTTTCCTCGGCATTATTCCTTGAGCGACTGACCTTGTTGTTTTCGATGTGCAGCTTCGTGTGGTGCTTTCCCTGGCAGATCAAGCACCTCGATGCCGATGGACATCTGTCAATGGAGTGCGACTTATGCAAGCAGTTCATGCATAAGCGCTTGCTTCTGCAGACCTCTCCACGCTGTTGCGGGGACATTGCGATGAATTTGAAGCAGCGATGCAGCCAATGACTGCCCTGGCAGAGATCACAGCGAGGCCTCGGTCGACCATCTCTTGCATCTTCTACTTGCGTGTTGTTCGCGAGGATGCGACGATGGTTGCTACCTCGGTTTTTTTGCGATTGAGAAGCAGAATCAAAAGGGTCGGACGTATTTCTCGACTGCTCGAGCGTCTGTATACGTCGCTCCAAAAAACGTACGAGGTCCTGGTATTTCGGAAATTCCGGGGTCTCCTCGCGCGAAATCTCCCAAGATTCACGCGAGTTTGCGTCTAGCTTCCTCACGACGCAGTGGACAATCCAATTGTCGTAAAATTTCACCGGGCATTGCAGCTCCGTCAGGGAGCGCACGGCCTCCTCGGAGCGATCAATCAGATCCGTGAGATCTTCTGCGCAGCGTACCTTCACTCGCGGCAATTCGATGAGGTGCTCTAGTGCGTTGAACAGCCGTATGTTCTGATTATCGTAGCGCCGCAGTAGCATGTCCCAAGCAACGTCGAAGTTCGACTCGACGATCTCGAGACCTCGCAGACGTAGTGCAGCCGGTCCCTGGACCGCGTTCAGCAAATGTTGCAGCTTTGCGACTCTCGGAATCGACTCCTTGTCGAGGTGACGGATTACCACGAGACGACAGACCTAGACCTTTGAGAATCCGCCAGTACTCACCGAGTGAGGTCGCCTCTGCGATACGTGACTGTATGTAGCCGGTCTTAGCACTGTCAAGCTTATTTTTGAGGTCACGTCTAAACCTCTTAAAGACGTTATGTGCCTCCACAGTGCGACGCCGCTTATAGGTTTTGAACGCACGATCCGTTGCACGCATAAGGTTGCGTATCTCCTGCGTAACCCATGGCTTGGACCGTTCCTTAAAAACAACACGAGTCAGTGGAGCCATCGCGTCCAAGCCGCATTAAGGCTTCCCGTGATAGCCGAAGCAAAGTTGTTTGGGCAACCCTCGCCTCGACCCTCACCAATGCGAGGCAGTGAAAGCCGAGGAGAAGAGTCAGAGATCTGGCTCGATCGATTGAACTCAGCACTCAGTAAATCCGTCAAGAGGGTGTTAAAAGCGTCACTATCAATGCGAGAGATCCTACGTATTTCACGAGTAACTGGGGCCATACGTGGCATAGTGATTTGATAATTTAACTTGATGAAATGGTGACCAGCAGCAAAAGGAGCCTCAGAAATATGATAGTCGAGTATAAGATTAGGGTCACTTGCAATAACTAAGTCCAAACACGATTCATGAGAGGATCCGTCGGCATACATCACATGATGAGTTGGCAACACACTCGCCAAGTGAAGATTATATGTCTCCAGCACTCCCAACAAGTAACGAGCATGTCTATTATCACAGGACATGTCGATATTAAAGTCACCGACAATGATAGCGTGTGTGTACAGAGGTAAGTGTTCTGAAATCGACGTGAAAAACGCATGCAGATAGGACGCAGTTGGACGCCTATATACGACGGCAAACAGCAACTTGAAATTGTGCTGTGATATCTCATATACAGCGTATTCTGGGACATTTGAGTATACTGAATTTGACGATAGCAAAAGTGAAACACGAAGATCGGTACGAGCATACAGTCCAAGACCACCACCTTCACGACGCAAACGATCATGTCTATGGAAATTGAAGTTTGGAATGTGGAACAAATTTGAATTTAGATCAGGTTTTAAAAAAGTCTCAGTTATTGCAATTAGGTGAAAATCATTTTTATTTACTATGGGTTCTAACAGAGAAAAATTTGTAGGAAGTCTATTTATATTTATTGAGCCTATGGTAAGTGGTCTTGATAGAGAGTGCGTATCTGAGTTCAATGACGAGCCAGTATTATTTCAGGACGAATTTGGCTTCAATTTAGCCAAATCCGCCTCACAGGTAATTGGGATCAGAGGAGATTTTTGAGCTTGACGCATGAAAATGCGTAGGCCTCGGACGACTGGTGGTGGATACCGTAGAGTGCGACAAGCTGCCTGGCACCTCTTGTACAGGCCGTAAAGTGGACCAGGGAGAATAGCCGACATATGCAGTCTGTCCGGTCCATCATGGTCGATACCAAAAATTGAGCCTTTTGTAAGCAGTCTCAGGCGAGGAGCCGCCGCCAACAGCATGTCACGAGCTCCAGCTGAAGCAAGGCACACGACCATGGTTCGCCTAGCGCTGCTTGAAGATGCAGACGCTGAACCAGGGTCGACCGAGGCTCGACTCTTTGGAGCCCACGGGCGCACTTTTAAGATAAGTAAAGCGAGGCGATCAAGCTGAAGAGCTTTAAGGACCGACTCGGCAGCCGCAACGCTGTCAGTTTCAACTGAGGATGGAATGCCCGCTATGCGCACCTCGCAGGTATCTGCAGAAGACAGCAGATCGAGGTGCGAACCAGAGCAATAACCTCCGCGACCCAGCTTGCTATTATTAAAATAATTTAATCTTATATTATTAAAACAATTATCCTGCAAACCAAAGCAGTAACCTATGTGACTCAGCACGTGTATTGATTTTCAAACGGTACACCAAAACGGTAACCCAGCTCGTCATATTTGAATAATTTATATTTTTTTGCATATTCATTTTTTTTACAAAGTTGCTTTTCATCTTTATTTCTTATTTCTGAGAAATATTTCAATAATTGTTAAACCCATAACAAGCTAGGCTACGTGGAATAAGTCTTACACAAATAATAGCAAGCTGGGTCGCGGAGGTTATTGCTCTGGTTTGCAGATTTATCGAAAAAACATTACCTAGCTGGATTTCATAGGCGGCTACTTTGGTTTGCATTTTCTAACATTCTTTAATATTTAAAAAAATTTTAGTACAATTTTTTCTAATAACTTTTCATATTCCAATTTTGAATGTTTTGAATTTCGCGCCCAGACACACTATAACATGCGCGCGCAGAATAAGCTATTCAAAGTGTCGAACCACCGTAGCGATTACATAATATATTACCTGTTATTTATTTTAACCGATGTATTTGTTTTACAATATGCTCACATGTATCTCATGGTCGAGCATTTAGTGAGGTTTTTATAAAAATTTTTTTTAAATCGCTAACAGCAATGAGAACTGAGATATTTAATGTTAAAGTTCCAAGTAGCGTTTGACAGTTTTTCAAACAACATTAACACATAAATAGTCGTGCATACTTTTAATTTAAGTATTCTCAATGAGAGTTTTTTTCTCTATCCAGTGGTATAAAGTAAAGTAGCGTGCTTTCAATTCCACCGCCAGCTTCACAAAGCTGCAAGCAAGGGTTGAATAAAATTTTCGTGCTTGGACTCGTTCAGGGTCTCTCTCTCTCTCTGCGTCTCCTCTCAATACTGAATTATTTTTTAGACTTTTAGTATAATTAAAGTTTAAAAAAGAAAATTTCATTTTGCGTATGAATAGTTGTCAGAATATGTTTGATTTCATTACTATCATAGCTCATTAAATAATTGTTCAATAGTAGATATTCAACTATTCCAAAATTAGAAAAATAAAAGATTCGTGAGTTAGATTTGAATTGAGATAAGACTGTCATACTCGCACTCATTTAATCCTTTGAAAAAAGTATTACCACAATTTTAAATTACTGTATGGTAAACTTTTTAATTTGGTATAGTATTTGACAAATAAAAATTTCAGTTATGCTGAATAATTGTTAGAATATAGTTTATTTCATTCATATCATAGCCATGTAATTGAACAATGGTAGATTGAGTTTAATAATGAGCATTTGGATAATTTAAAGAGTATCGAATTGGATTTGGATCCATGCAATGAATAGTTTTCTTTTTTCAACCGAAAGTACAATTTCTCAACGTACATGCAAAAAATGAATTTTCTCTTTTAAAGTTGAAAACCAGAATTCGCAAGCTACTATCATGAAATTTGAGTATGTATTCCAACTAATTATTTTATAATAGCTTGAAAAATTATAGTTCAATAGCATGAATAGTTTCCATTTTTCAAAAAAAGGTACAATTTTTTGTTGTCACAGTAAAAAATGAGATTTTTCTGTTTCACTGTTTAAACCAGAATTTGCAAGCTATTATCATAAAATTTGAGTATGTATTCCAACTAACTATTTCACACCAGCTAGTAAAATTTTAGAACAATAGCATAAATAGTTTTCATTTTTCAACAAGAGGTGCAATTTCTTGTCGTCACAGTAAAAATTACTATAATACATCTATTTGAACTTCAATTAATATTTGAGACTGTCTATTTGCAGTCAAAAGATAATCCATGGTATTATTCTTTCGCGTATGCAAACATATATGTTCAAAGATAGATTATTTTAGATTGCAAATTGACAGACTATTGAAATTTACTTGAAAATGACAAACGATTTTTTAAAATTTTTAAGGGCAAGGTTAAAATTATTCAACAGAGAATGATGCTATTCTACCACGAAAAAATTCTTTCATTCTTTAGATACTAATTCTCTTAAATTTTCACTCACATGAACGCAAAATTTTTATAAGCAATGTCGGTAAAGTAGGAATTCAAATACCATTCATTGCTCACTGGCATAGCTTACTTAATATTTATATAATTTTTTTAAAGTTTACAGTCGGTAATTAAAAAATTCCGAAATTTCCTATTTTTAGGATAATTTTTATTTTTATTAAAAAACTTAGACCTATACTATCACAGTATTCTTATAAAGTATTTTACATTATTTAATATTAAATAATATTATTTTTATCTACTTCATAATCATTGTGAAGACGTAGCTAGCTCTTTGACTTTCTTTTTATTCAATACTTTTTTATGTCTAGCTCCTTCGATGTGTTGAGTCCACTGTAGATCTCCAATAAATATTCTATCACAATCCTTTATAATTGAATAAAGACAATTTTATTAAACACAATTTCATAGAAATATAAAAATTGTTTGAAAAAAAAATTACCTCGCAAACTCGACTCCGATCATTACTGCTATCTGATACTTTGCGATCGACTATGTTTTTGTTAATCGGTTCAACCGATGGAGTATGACCATTTCTATAGGCTTCTATGATTTCCATAGCTCGTTCATAAACAACAGAGTCCCACACATTTACATCAGAGCAGTCAAGCGAATATACTGGAGGTACCTGAAATAAGCATTGATAAATAAACTTTACAAAAATGCTACTTTATAGGAAGTACTTTGAAAAGTCATTTTTATAATTTTTAATCATTCAACTTAAATTATCAATTGTCATTCTGGAAAATTTATAGAACACGTAGAATGATGTGTATCAATTAGATACTATCTGCTTGGTGTAGTAAAACATTCTTTGACCAGGAATCATTGACAATAAAATTTAAATAACTCGTTATCTGAGTCACAAAAATAAAAATATTTAAAACGATTCTAAAGATACCTGACGATCCGATCTTCGTAACAGTCGATTTTTCACCCATTTATTCTGTCTTCTCGCATACTGTCTAGTTGCTATTTTCAGTAGTTCAATTCCTTCTTCTAGCAATTTTTGGCCCTGTTGAAAAAATAATTCACTTGTTATTTTATTCTCGTATGCAATGTTAAATTTTTAATAAAGAAAAATCATATTTATCAAAAGTGAGAGTACAAGCAAAAGTGAATACACAATAAATAAATTTTTTATTTGAGGACGTTGGGGACGCAACCGAGTTCAAATCAGCAACTATCAAGAAACAGCGGAAGGTAGATACTTGATTTGACTAGAACTACTTAGAGGTATCATAAGCTCAAAGCCAATATATATGCTATCACGCGTATTTTTGTCTGCTGCTAACCTCTCGAGTTAGATTGTACGTAGAACAAACACGAAATTTTTTTATTTTTATAAAATTACTTTGAAATATACTCGTGAATATACCATTTGAAAGGTAATGATTTCATTTTTCATTATGCAAAATTTGGTCACGATCTCCCATTTTGACCTAAAGTCACACTGAAAATTTTGTGAGAAATCTGCGCTTTTGTATGATTTCCATGTAAAAAAAGGTACTTTTGAAATTAAATTGTACAAAAATTCATTCGACAATCGATGCTCAAATTTCGGGAGAACATTATGAGTGTTATTAACTATCAAATTCCGATGTATCAACTTCGTGGCCCAGTTGGACCTAAAGGTCCCCAACTGCCTTAAAAGCATTATTGAACGCCAATACAGTTGAAAAATTGAGGGTCGCTTTATCGTGGTATAAAATATGTTTTTTCGCAACTCGTGTGCGTACATACAAGTGCAGATGGAACAATAGATGGCTTATTGAATTCTTATACTTTTAATACTCGGTCGCGAGTCCTTCTTTCATTTGCCATGCGCTAGTTCGAACTGTAAGTATATGTAACCCACTTTTCTCGCGCTCTAGTATCCAGTGACAGGATTTGCTATGGTGTAAACATAGCTTGGCGCACACGGTGGTTCGCAAATCTACATAAATACCTATCCCCCCGCGCGAGACATAGTATTACAGGTATCTGTCTGCTTATCTCTTTCTCTCTCACTCTCTTTTGAAAATTTATTGTTTGCCTTTAGAATTTTTGCGACCTTGCTTCAAATTAATTTGCGTCTGAACATTAAAGACGAAAAACTTTTTCAGCGTGTTATTTTTTCTTTGTACTCGCGTACTTGTAACAAGTATAATAAAAATGTACGTGTTGTATTGCTGGTAAATGTTGATAATAAAAAATGAACCATAGTCAAAGTTACTCGCGAATAAAAATCTCACTTTGATAATTCATTAATATTCATGCAATTTCAATAAACTCACCTGTTCTGATTGTCGCTCCTCTTTTGACAGAATCAAAAACTTGTGAAATTCTTTAAAGCCGATGCTCTGAAAGATCCCTTTCGTGTAATCCGGTAATCTGAAAGCAAAAGTATAATTAGATATGCATCGATCGGTTACAAAAGAAAAGAAAAGAAGAAAATTTTACAAGACAATACGTCGAGATAAAATTATGATGAGTGACTTTGAAGAAGATTTTAGCAAGGGTGACACATAGATAAATGATTATACCCTTTATGATAAGTTCACATTATTATTATTGTTGTTATTATTATTATAATTATTATTGTTATTATTATTATTATTATTATTATTATTATTATTATTATTATTATTATTACTACTATTATTATTATTATTATTGTTATTATTATTATTATACATGATATTATACATAAGGCATGCCGTCTGAGCTTCGAGTGAGCTTGAACAGATGGCACCGGTGTATTGACATTTCTGTTATTTCGCGCAAAAGTAGCAGTCGGCTTTCCTGGAGCATTTTTCGCGAGACACGATTGAGTAATACGGTGGAAAAAAATCACGACATCGATATGTATTTGCGCGTGCGCGCACACACAGCACGTGTCGTGATTATTAGTGAAACGCCAATAAATCAGCCGATGCCATAAAAAAATCGTTAAAAAAAGTAACGTAAAACAATTAAAAAAAAAAATTATAAATTTTCAGGTCATGCAGCGATCACGTGAATTCAACCGGCTGCTCGCGAAGAAGTTACCCCCGCTTGCTTTTCGAGATCAGAAATAAATCAACCGCAAAAGAAGTTGTACGAACTTCTCTTTTAAACTGTTCCTTTTAATTTTCGTCTAACAATGACGTGAGGCTCGATTGATCTGTACTTCAGTGCCTGTTGTAATTTTATATTCTTCTCAAAACTTGAACTTCATAGAAAAAAGAAGTAAATGCGAAATACCTTACGATCATCTTTTCGAATAAAAAAATGCCGATGAACATAAATATATTCTCGTTCGTTGATCGTTCAAATTTAAAATTATAATGTATAATGATGAAACTCGCGCGAATAAGGTAATGAACTTTTATTACTCACAAAGGCAGCCACGTAATAATAATCGTTAATTCGATGAACAATTCTTCAAATAAAAAGGCCCGAATTTTTGCTTGCCATTGATGAATTGAGTAGACTCGAGCATGCGAAGTTCGCGTAATCAATAGGGCAGAAAGTAAATCCCTCTAATCTCTCGAGGACACTGTAGCTCGCTCTTGAAGTTAAGATTTATCATTTGCATTAACTACTCGATTCCCGACAAATGTTAATGTTTCCTCCGAGTAAAACAAGAACAATACTGCACAAGCGCTACGCGACGAAGTGTATTCGCGCGCGCAAAGTTATTCTGTTTCATTGTTGAAACATTTTCCAGTCGCGTATATATATACATATTTTTTAACCCATAAAGAGTATTTCGCAAGGAGTAAAGCAGCGAATCCGTGGGTATAACTCGTTGACCCCGCGGCAGTTTATTCAAACCAGAAACACAATTTTTGACGTGACAGGTTACCTGCAGGTATACGTGTATTCGAACGGTATGAAATATGTATGGTTGGAAGAGGAAAAAAAGAAGAAGAGGAACTTTGCAGAACTGCTGTAAATTTCTCCAACGCGAGCGAATAATGTAATACTGCGAAAGAAATTTTAGACTACATCTGAAGCACAAAAAGCCGCGGATCGAGAACCAAGTAGTAGCATATAGAGTCCTTTTTATAATAGTCCAATGTGCGAGTTGGTATATGGCATACAAGCACGCACGCAGGCGCTTATATTCTCACATAAAAACATAAGTAGCACATCGCTTCTAGAATTACAATACACACATACTGCAGCCGCGTGTGTATGCGCCAGCAGCAGCAACAGTGCTCATACATAGATGAACAATCCCTAATAGAGACATCAACGATCGCGAGCTAAAATTAATCAACCGAACGCATCTTTCCTTCTTTCTTTCATTCCTTCTTTCTCTCGCGAGCTAGCTCTCGAGCCTCGTCGATACAGGGATGCGTAACGGGAGCGAGCGAATGATCGGTATCGCTAGGTGAATTTGCTCCTTATTCGGGACGCGCATCTACATATATGAGCATGGGCGCAGGCCATATTATATGTAATATATTTATATGTATGCGCGTGTGCGGCTCGATGCGTTTGATCTCTACGCGGACGCATTGGAATTAACAAAATGCGAATATACAACCATGAAATTCACACGATTTGTTGATTCGAAGCAATGTTTTCTTTTTTTTTCCTTCTTCATTTCTTCTATTTCTTTTTTCTTTAAGCAACGATGTATTCACGATCGTTTGTGCGCTATCGATTAGAAAGTCCGGGATTTCGCGTTGAAAATTCATTTGCCATTGTTTTGAGTGGTCATCGCTTATAAAGAGTCTTCAAAAACGGTTTATACGCTGAATACATCAAGAGGCAGGCGTACGCGTGCAAACTTGGCGTAATCGCGAGCTGCTACTTATATGCAGTTCGCTGGGACACGTCGTCGTCACTGAAAATTGGTCGCTCACTGCAAAAACGGTACGTCCGGTTGAAATCTTTACAGCGTGAGATTTTACGACGAATAGTTGTATATATATGCACGCGCGGCCCAAGGAAAACGTCGAGTCCTTTTAAATCAGCTTTGAAATCGGGTTTTTCCTTGCGTCACAAAAGCGCCGAGCTCTCGCACGAGCATATATACCTAATTAGCTCGCAGTGATGCAGGAGCTCTCTATAGAGACATGTGTAAGCTACTGCTGCTGGTGCATAGCTCGGCAACAAACACAATGATTTACGGCGATCTGCGTAAACACACACACGTATGTACGAAGCTCTCGAGCTTACTCTGAGTTCATTTACCTGACGGCCCGTATTATCAATTGATACCACGCACATGAGCCAACACAAATTTTATGAAGAATTTGTATATGAAAAGAGAGGTTTAACTCGCGAAAATTATACATGTAATCGCGATTCAGTGTTGATTTTGTCGTTATATAATTTACGCCGTAATGTACACGCAATTGACGAGGCGACGATCGGGGAAGATTTTATCGCGATCAAATATTTTATTATCGCGCGCGAAGATTGCGACAGGAGATCGAGCTTCAATGAACTTGATAATTAGTTTTTTTTTTTTTGCTTCTTCTTCTTCGTTTCTTTATTTATACGCTCTCTTGCAATCTGTGCCCGCGACTTCTGGCGAGCCGAACCTCGAGGTATGCATACGTACCCGGGCACGTGCGAATTTCGACGAATCGATATCGATAATTGTCGCGGCGCAAGATACGACGCCGCGTGCGATGATTCATGAATTCGATCGCGAACGCGCGCGCCTATTCGTATATACATTCGTCGCGTGTGTGTATCTATTTAGGGACGCGTACATGTATGCCAAAGCACGCACGCAGCGTATACACAGCCAATTGCATCCTTCCCCTAGTATTATCACGACGCGATCGCGAGCACATAAATGATGGATAAGCAGGTGCAGCGACGCATCTTTTGGGTCAAAAATAACATTTTTTTTTCTCTTTTCGAACTCCGAATACGAACGAGACACGATAAGAGACGAAGAGAGAGCTAGGAGCTTCGTGGCTTGAGCGACGAGCGCAGCAGAGCGGGCCCGCATTCGTGTATCGAGCTTTTGATTTATCACCGCGGGACTCGATTAAATCGACTCTGGGAATAATTTATTTTTTTCAGCGGATGTTGCGTTATAAGTGTAGAGTAGCGCTCGGTGCGAGGAGGAGGACGAGGACGACAGCTTCTTCAATAATTGACGGTACATGCAGAGGGTTCGCGAAGATGCAAAGATCGTTTTCGTGTATTCACGAAGGAACACTTATGGTACGTGACTATTTTTAACGAGGTCGCAGGGATAGACATAACTTCGAAAGGGCCAAATTGCGTTATAAGCTTTCTGATATATCGCATCGGTTGAGCGCGCGGGCGAATACGCCATTTTTAAAAGCGTTATATCTATGCACACCTGTGCACACACATGCGAAGAGCACAAGCGGAATCGACGCTAACACGCGCATACGCACACATACGAGCGCAACTTTGAATATTGCATGAAGCAGCACATCGTCGTCGTCGAGTACGCGTCGAGTTGCGTTTCTTTATCGAAATTATACATACGGGAGTGCGGCGGCCGGTGCCAAGTGCAGAGAATTACGGTAGCGCCCGCGCGGATGGATATATACTATTATGCAGCTATATCGCATACGCGCGCACGCATCGATACACGCAACACGCGTGTAGCTCAGTAGCGAGGCTTCGCGCGAGCGCCTACAAAGTAAAGCGTAATTTGCAATTTTACAAGCACGAGAGAGAGAGAGGGAGGCAGAGGTGCGTGCGTATATTTTCATTGAGCGGGACAACGTTTTTCAAGTAGCGAAATTGTTTACTCTGGACTCTTGGATCACTAGTTTATGCGGAATATAAAGAAAAGTCAAGTAATTTATAAGGCAAGTAGTAACTAGACCTTGCCTTTAATCTCAAAAAGGTTTTTTCAAGGTCGCTGCCAAAGCTCGTTAATTAGTCATGAAATAACTATAGCTCAAATACCGGTGTCAGTTTCATACTCTATTTTTTGGAATTTAAAGCGTTGACCTTGAAAATCGACATTTTCAAAGCGAGGCTTACGCTGACGATAAAAATTAGATAAACTATAATGGTTCGAGGGTCTGAGGCAAGAGATTTCAACATCTAGGCAACAGTGTCCAGTCCAATTTACATGACCGTGTATACGAACGCTCAATTTATCCCGCGAGTGGAGGAAGACGAGAGAGACAAGGAGACTCAACGAAACAGAAGAAGAAGAATATGAAGAAAAAAAAAAGATTTTTCCCGAGTGGCTAATCTAAATGGAATTACAATACTATGCATAATCATGAATATGCGCCAATGCGAGCGGTCTCGGCGTATACTTTGTATCGCGAGCAAGGATCTTTCCTTTTATCTCGAGCAGACGCGGATTTCGAGAGATTATTTGAAAACGGTTTGAAGTGCGCTCGTGCACTGATTTACATGAATTTTGCAATAGAAGCGATGAGCGCGCGACTATATGCGCGTGTACTTGAGTCCACGATTTGTTTATGTATTTATGCAAACGGGCCCGATGAATCGACAAAAAAAAATACACGCACCACGTACGACAGGAGAAGGGGGACGTTTTAGAAAAACTGCTCGATTTACTCGAATGATATTTGAAACTGAACATATATATTTTTAAAATGCCAATTCTCGGTCCATATTAACGTCCCTGCGATCACTGGTATTTACAACTCACAATTTTAGTGAGACATTATCCGCATATTTCCCCAAAGCACTTGTGTGGTGCGTCACCCTTATAGTTTGAAATTTACCCGCAATATTACAAAAAATACGCTCTTAGTGCTTGCTCAAAATTTACGTACTCAAAAAGAAAAGTGAAAATTGGCGTAGGTGGCGCGTAAAATTATATTATTTTTACGTTAACTGTACCAATGCATCGAAAAAATCGACGCGTGTAAAATGTCATTAGGTTTTTGAAAAATCATCCTTGCATAGGCCCCAACTACGCTTCTTTTCTCTCGGACAATAATATATAGTCCACGACACATCGGTGTCGTACACACATACATACACACACACACAGTATATGCACGAGCTGCGAAGCTGTGTATAGAAAAATGCTGAAGTCACAAAGCGCTTTTATAACGCGATACCTCGGTGCTTAAAGCAGTGAAATCTGACGATACCGAGGCTTCGCGCGTGGGAAGTGAATGAAAAGGTTTTCGCTATGTGGACGCGCAGATGTTCCGCGTACTATAGTAAAAGACGCCTCGCACTGCAGATGGAAAAATTAAAACGAGACGCGCGAACGCCCTGCGAGCTCAACGTTATACGTACATACATGTACATATTTGCCCGTTCGGACAAGTTTGAGAGTAAGCCGAGAGCAAAGTAATAAGTGTATTTCTATATTTTGTACGGTGGCTTCTTCTTTTTTTTTTACCTCATATCTGTTTCGCAAAAAGATATTCACTACTCATGAGAATGTTTTTTAAAAGTCGCCACCGAGTATTAGACGGACTTACTTACTCCTCTTTTTTAAGACGGTCCTTGTTGTATCTCTCGTGGAAGTCCAGCAATTCTTGAATTAATCCAGCTTCGAGCATAGAGTCGACTCTTTTACTTAAACGCTCGTCCAAAACTTCCTGCAAAATATCGATGAAACGTGATTAATTAGATAGAGCTTTCAGAGAATAAAAAATTTAAAATACGTTTTAATCGTAGAAACATTAGTATGATTCCTTCTTAAACATTCAAATGAATCCTCCTCATCTTCCTCATCCTTATCCTTATTCTCATCCTCCTCCCCCCCTCCCCTCAAAAAATAAAAACCTTTCATAACTTTAATAGTTCTAATGAATTCAATAAACATAATTACTCATCGAAAAATTCAAGGGGGGATTTAAAAATAACTCGAAATCGCCTTTTTTTAAGAACACAATACGAATATCATTTCAAAGTATTTTAAATACATTAGCACTTCAGTAAATTACGTATCAACTGTAGCTATCAGGCATATTAATGATCGAATCAAGAAATCTTTGAACGGGCATTCAATTTTATCTATTGTATAATTTCTCAATACTAAAAAAAGTACCGAAGAAAAGTTTTACGATGTAGTTATACTAGTTTACTACGCGGCATTTTTTGAATTCTCGTACACACAGTATACGGGTCATTTCCAAAAATCTCCATTTGGGGCATTGCAAAAGAAAAACGCGTTCGCGCGCTCAAGAAGACCAGATATACACGACGCTACTAAAAATATTAATGTTAATAACGGGCTTGACTAAAGTTTATTAGTTCCTCGGTCGCATTAACTTCCTACGCCCACGCGCAGTTCGCGCGCACGACTTATGAGATCACGTTGCTGTTGCATATGGGTCAAAATAATACTTTTTTACAAAACCGTGCGCACGTCTATCACCGATCTTGACGCGCTTTTGGTATGTTATAGTACATGGTAAAAAGGTCCCAAAAAAAAATTTTTAGACCCCCTCCCCCCTCCTACCCCCCACTTCCGGTATAAACGTCCATTTTCGATCTATATTTTTTCTGAGGACATGAAGCGAGTAAAAAATCTGAAAAAATTCATAGAAATACTTTTCCACAATCCAAACAACCTTGAATTTTTTCAGATTTTTTGAGTGCTTCAGGCCTTCAGGAAAAATCATTGAAAATTTTGAAAATCGAGATACGGCGATATGAGCCGATATAGTAAACGGAAATTTTTTCAGTTATTTTTCGCATTAAAAAACATAACCTCAATTTTTTTCAGATTTTTTCAGGTGACCTAACGCACCTTTTGGAGCCAAAAACCGATTTTTTTGACGAAAATAATTTTTTTAGGACAGTACGAAGCCTCGAAAAATCTGAAAAAAATTTTTTCTTGTTTTTTTCATCAAAATACATAATCTCAAATTTTTTCAGATTTTTTAATTGAAGGCGATAGCTTCTGGGGCCGAAAAATGCTATTTTTAATAAAAAATGGTTCCTAGAACCCGATGGTTCCAATGAAAAAATTTGAAAATATTTTTTTTGAATTCCTTGTCAAATTTTAATAAATTTTGACCCTTTCAAAAGTTCGATTGAAGCTTCCTAGCTCATTTTAGAGCATCACAAATATTAGGGCAAAATATCTGAAGACGTTTCTGAAGACACTAAGGAATGATAAAACTCGTTTGATGCTCTAAAATGGGGTAGGAAGCTTCAATCGAACTTTTGAAACGGTCAAAATTTATTAAAATATGACAGGGAATTCAAAAAAAATATTTTCAAATTTTTTCACCGGAACCATCGGGTTCTAGGAACCATTTTTTGTTAAAAATAGCATTTTTCGGCCCCAGAAGCTATCGCCTTCAATTAAAAAATCTGAAAAAATTTGAGATTATGTATTTTGATGAAAAAAACAAGAAAAAATTTTTTTCAGATTTTTCGAGGCTTCGTACTGTCCTAAAAAAATTATTTTCGTCAAAAAAATCGGTTTTTGGCTCCAAAAGGTGCGTTAGGTCACCTGAAAAAATCTGAAAAAAATTGAGGTTATGTTTTTTAATGCGAAAAATAACTGAAAAAATTTCCGTTTACTATATCGGCTCATATCGCCGTATCTCGATTTTCAAAATTTTCAATGATTTTTCCTGAAGGCCTGAAGCACTCAAAAAATCTGAAAAAATTCAAGGTTGTTTGGATTGTGGAAAAGTATTTCTATGAATTTTTTCAGATTTTTTACTCGCTTCATGTCCTCAGAAAAAATATAGATCGAAAATGGACGTTTATACCGGAAGTGGGGGGTAGGAGGGGGGAGGGGGTCTAAAAATTTTTTTTTGGGACCTTTTTACCATGTACTATAACATACCAAAAGCGCGTCAAGATCGGTGATATACGTGCGCACGGTTTTGTAAAAAAGTATTATTTTGACCCATATATATACATTATAAAAAGAAATTTCGAAGCTCGCGCGTGCACGCGTAGCAGTACTCAGCCGGTAGCGAATGCGCGCAAAAAGAGGATCAGCTCCGACGAAGAAGACATATTTAAATCGTGCACTCGAGTTAGAAATCGAAAAATTTTAGACATTTCTTCTTTTTCTTCTTTTTTTTCGTACGAGCAAAAAAGACTGATAAATTAGTCACCTCGCGAAACATAGTATACATATATCGGCGCGTGTCAACTCTTGTGAATCGCGCGTATATATAATACAACCGGACGGCGGCGACGGCGCGCTCGCTAAATATAAAAAGCTACACTACGATTCGTCGCTCTATTCTAAAATTTTTTTGATAAAAACTTGCGGCGTGGCCTCCTCAGTGGAGTTCATTGCTCTCCTCTCAAGTTCGGGAACCGGTGACATGCGGCGATACGTATCCACGGCGTGTTATTCGCACCCGTGTTTTTTGATCAACGAAATTAGGCACTCGCACGAAGGAGGGCTAGACGTCGTCGCGACGATACATTTTCGGTACGAACAGGAAAAATCGTTTTTCATAATTTTAAATTAAGCTCGAGCCGTTTAAAGGCACGTCTTTGTTATTCGTCGTTCTGCCCCTACAACGATCACAGAAAAGCTCACGTGCGGTAAAGACGGTGCGCGCGGCGGCTTCGTCTCTTCTGAAAATCGAGGCCAAGGTCTGGCTAGAAAGCTGGCAGCCACGCGCGCGAGAATAAAGCTCTCGGGGTCCCGCGCTGCGCGCACTCTTACTCGCATGCCTCGCACCAACATTGCCACACCGGCATCGACAGAGAAACGACAGCAGCGATGGACTTGCGAATTTGCCTCGACTTATGGTCGCGCGCGCGCGGCGACGAGAAGCAGCAAAGGCGAATGACCAATTACGAGATTGACTTTCTCAAGACAGCTCCTCGCAAAACGTACACATATACCTAGGTAGATATACCTCTCCAACTGCGAGTAAGAGGACACATTTCTTCGGGGAGTTATATAGACAGGCACGTGTAATATATGTGCACTTGCTGTTTGCCACACGTGATGTACATCTCGAGGTGGCTTGGAGGTGTACTTATATACATACATACTCGCGGGAACCGATTCACAAACATATTATAATCTTGATTAATCATTTCGCGACGCGTGCTGTGTTCATGTAATATGTGTCATTGAGTGACGATGATGTACGTTCGATTTGATCGGAAAATTTCGGTAAATGTAATCGACCATCGCATATATGTGTGTATTTGCTCAATTGCGAAAAATAGAAAGTGTGACCAATGAGAACTAATTTGCATTTTTTAACACATATCGCATGTACGTGTGTGTGCAAGCGTTTATCACGGATCATCGCCCTCCGAGCGAATTTATAATTTCACTTTATTCTCGCGTGAAATCGATTTCTTTCGCAAATCTGCACTCGTGATTTATCTGAAATTATGCGCGCGCGTACCTTCGCGATAGACGATCGTATGATTTATCGAAAATCGTGTAAGACAAGTCGCGGTTATTACGAGCGCAGAAGCAGCAGCAGCAGCTACCGCGTTTGAACTTCGGCGCGTCGCGATGATCGGCTCGCAACACGACTCACGATTTTTTTCAAGCGTTTTAAAGAAGTCGCTGCGCACACGTTTTTTTTCGTTTTTTACTTCTTTACGTCGCTTTTTTGCGTCCCAGACAGGATAAGACGGAGCTAGTGCAGGTCGCGAGCCCGCGCGCATTACCTATAGAGCTTATACATGTATATGGCGAGTACATATTATAATCCCACCGTACATGGATAGGCGCCATCGTTACACATTTTACGGCAATATTGCGCGATGTTACAAAGTGTGTATAATATACGCACTTCGAGTTACAAGCAGTAAAGGAAAAAAAAAAGAGGAATTACGCAATGCGCACGGAGTAGAGTTAGTTTAGCTTGACTGTATAGCGTGGAAAGTCGTAAGACTTATAGCGATATAGATAATGCCTTAACCATTATGATACACCGAATGGCGTCTTTGCGATGACAAAACGACAGGGAGCTTTTTCTAATTTTACGTACATTTTTTCTTCTCCTTTTTTTTCAGACCTTGTCATGACTGCTTATATATTATTTCTGGTTTCAAGTCGTTAATGTAATGTGCGCAATGTACGTCAGCGTATGGAAAGCCGTGGAAGCTCGAGCACAGAAATTGTCCAGAAAAATTAACGCGCGAACCACGCAGAATTACAAAAAATTGAAGAAAAAAAACGACGATCGACTTAAAAAAATCGTATTTGTGTGGCGATTTTCTCGGTGAAATACATCGGAATGTCAATTCATCGGCGGACGATGACTCAACAAAAAAAAAAACCTCTTGCTTGATCGGCGAGACGCCGAGCCATTCATAGAATTGTCACAGGAATCTATTACTATTAAAGTGTGCCTCGAGTAGATGATCGGGACGCAATTAAATGAATGGGACCCTTTTGTATTTTTGGTGGGCCCACCAAGGAACGCAGTATTATTTAAGCGCGATTAATTGCTTTGTCTGGGCTAAATAAATATTACCAAAAAAAAGGAGCATCTGCGCATGTTGCGCTCGGCGATAATTCGACTTGAATCGAAATTTCTCAACCACGAAGATATTGTCATTGAAATTGCTCAAGCTACGAGATTCTTTCACTTTTGTACGGAAGATATGAATTGAATTATTTATTTGTTTTCAGCGGGAA